AGGGTAGTATCTCAGAGCCAAGAGACCAGAGTTTATTACTGATAGTACATGAGCTGCTGATGCGCCACAGCTACATTCTGAAAGCCACCATCGTACATAGCCGCGCTTGCTCCAGCTACATTGACTCCAAGACCTGCTTGTCTTAGAGAATGTTGAGCCTGAGGATGCATCTTGGCTAGAGTTAGTTGTCTCTCGTAGGTTAAGAGGTCCATTGTCGACATACCCGGGACTGGGACCGGGACTGGTGGGGGGAGTGGATTCGAGGCTGTGCCTGATGGAGTTGGTTTGTTTCCCCATGAGCACTGCAATTAATCACAGAAACAAGAAAATGGGTTCAAATGAAAACCGACAAAAACCAATTTACGAGTAAAGTTTGGATGATGCAAGAACAGTTAGATCGAAGTTAGTACCTTTATCTGTCTGCTAAAGAGGAAAGGCTGAGAGTTGCCCAATTGAATAGCAAGAGCAGCCTCTTCATGAGTGTTATATCTCACGAAACCAAACCCTTTGTCTCGCTGGACACGGACTTCTTCAATGACTCCAGCACCGAGTTGATGGAATAAGCGGTGTAGGTCAAGCTGACTTACCTCTGGAGCGAGGTTTCCTACGTAGACAGTTGTGTACTGAGGATTGTTTTCAGGAGCATCTTCGTTTGAGATTTCTCTACCATCCTCTGCGCAAGTATTAAATCAACGTTATCTTCATCAATCTGTTCTCAAGAGAAAGAGTACGAGAATAACAGAATTAGCACCGTGGTCAAAAGACAAACCTGAAGAGCCGTTTGTAAGTTCCACGACACTTTTTCCATCAGAGCTATGCTTGTCCTCGCCAAAAGCAGCGCCTTTTGTCGCCCAGTTGCATCTGATTTGTCTGCTACTTAACCATTTACCTGAGATGGTAAAAGAAACATAGTTCATACCACTGACAAAGACTATACTAAGACAAAAGAGCTCAATTCTAGATACAAAGTCTAATCAGCAAAAAAAAAAATGTAACTTCAACAATGCATCACTGATAAGCTCCAATAACACAGAACACCACAAAAGCTTTGCATCTCTACCATAATATCATACAGTTAAATGCATCCTTATGATATAAGTATCGAGAAACCAAAGTTTACAAAAAGAAACCTTAAAAGCTCTAAGAACACAATTCTAGAATAAGATTATTCTTACCATTCATTTCGTTAATGGCAGTTTGAGCATCCTGCAAATGACATTTGAACATTCAAAATCAGATATAAAATCATGAATGGGGATAAAACAAACAGTCACTCGTGATTTAAAGAATACAAAACCTGCTGATTGCGGAAGGAAACAAACCCGAAGCCTCTTGAGCGTCCCGTTTTCTGGTCCCACATCACTCTTGCATCCCTACACACACAAAAAAAAGATATTAGATCTAAGAATCTGATGAAATGTCAGTAATTCATCTTAGTGTTGTAACAGGATTATTTCTAAATCAAATATTCACTAAAAGAGACCAAGCACGGCAACTTACGAGCAGCTGTTATAGGCGGAAAAACTATCAAACAATGCTGCATCAGTAACCTCTGGACTGAGATCTCCAACAAAAATGTTGAAATGACCTGCAATTCATGAACAACAAAATCATTCAGCATTCAACAACAAAACGCGATTCTACGATAATCAAATCCGTCCAACCAACTAATCATAAAACTTACTCGATGTATCTTCCCTTTGACCAGTAGCATATGCCCAATTAACTTTAATAGGTTGTCCAAATCTATTAAAACTCCAGTATTAGAAAAACCAACGACGAAAACGTATGAATATAATGAACAAGAAGAGACCAACTATCAATGTCATACTTACAGATGCCTTCCGTTCAACGACATTATAGCCAAACCTGCTGATCTTCGATCAAAGTAGTGAACAAATCCATAAGACGACTGTCAATTGTAAAACACAAACATTTCCAAGTTAGCTTAGTCATTACCATACAGCAGACAAACCAATGTAACCAAAAAAAGTCAGAGTTTTTCGAAAAACTAAACCTTATCTTTTCTGATGAGTTTACAGCTTTCAATAGGACCAGTACTTGCAAAAATCTCTTGAAGAAGAATCTCAGTAACCTGAGTATGGATATTACCAACATACCTACAATAACAAAGAACCGAATTAACATATCAAAAACTCTGCCTTTTAAGCTACAATATTTGGAATCACTCAATCAAAAAATTACTCACACACTACGACAAGTACTTGGATCAAAACCAGGAGGAAGATTCCCACTTGGTAATGGCTCCATCTGCAAAAAAAAACTAACAAAATCAATACTTTTCTAATCAAAACACGAAACCCTATTCCAAAAATCAAAACTTTACATGGTGGACGAACTTCAGAACATACCCATGACTCGGAAATTCAGAAACAAACCCTAATTTTTTCGAATTAGAAACAAACCCATCAAAGAAGAAACATAATTAGAGAGAGAAAACAAAACCTGAGGAGGAGGAGGAGGCATAACACCAGGATGATGATAAAGAGAGTGATGTTGTTGCATCATAGCTTGTTGAATCATAGC